GGGAGGGGGGTGGGTGACATATGAGGTACAATCCGTGAACGCAGTTTACTATTCGTTCCAAAAATATCTACAAAACGTTCAGTTTGATTCAAATTAGTTCAATAATAACCAGCAATATCAATCAGCAACAACACCTACATAGATTTCACTCGATGATTTCACAATAATGCAATGTGGGTATGCTTACTGCACTTGAGTGCCACTTACATAGCAATGAAAGTTCGGCTCGAATAAATTTTCAGGTAGAAACAATCGGCGATGGTTACCTATGCGTAAGCGGTTTACCTCACAGAAATGGCCAGGAGCATGTCAAGGAAATATGCAGCATGTCTCTTGCATTCATGAAAAGTCTTACCAATTTCAAAATTCCACATCTACCGCAAGAGAGAATCAACTTGAGGATTGGAGCTCATACAGGTCTGTTCGATATCATCACAGTCTCAAACCAAAAGCACATTGAATCAAAAGGTTCTTGCTTCCAAGATATTCTGATTACAGGATCCGTTGTGGCTGGTGTTGTTGGCTTAACAATGCCAAGATATTGTTTATTTGGTGATACTGTCAATACAGCTAGCAGAATGGAAAGCAATGGCAAACGTTGGTTCAGAGTTCATTTGCTTCCTCTTTATGTTACATGTTGTTTTTTGTTGTTTAGCTGGAATGATACACTTGTCCGCGGACGCAAACAATCTGTTACAAATTGTGGGAGGATTTACGACAGAAACAAGAGGAGAAGTGATAATCAAGGTGACGAGTAGCATTCAGAATTTTTTAATCAACGAATCAATTCATTCAGAATTTTTTAATCAATATTAATTGAGGTCATTTCAGGGAAAAGGTGTGATGGAGACCTTTTGGTTGCTTGGGAATGCAGAAGGGTTAATACGGGCGCCTAACTCTTATGTGATCAGAAAGGAAGAAACAGAAGTCAGGGACGACGTAAACTCTGGTCAACAAGAAGTTCCTACCTCAGAGAGCGAAGGAATATATTCTGAATTCAGAAGAAATGGAGCATTTGCATAGCGTTTACTTCAGATGTCTTGCTGAGCTAACCAAATGATTATGTGATTTCGTTGAATTGTAAGCGGAATTGTTGTATAACTATATTACGTTTATGGAATAATTTCGTAATACAGAACCTTCATCCATATT